CCCCCAGTAGGTCTCTTTCTTACGTGTGGATGAATGAGACATCATTTCAATCAGAATAAATCAGAACAGGTGACTTCTCAAAGTTATTTCCTGTAACCTTTTGTGGGAAGCAGGGAAGTATCAACAGTGTTTTATCGCTCTCGTTGACATGGTGTGAGAGGTTATTCCCCAGCTGCCTGGGCTGGTTAGCAAAGGGCCTGAAATGGGCTCAGAGCCATTAGCGGCTTTCACTGAGGGCTTGTAGGGGACCTTTGCTCTGGGAAAAGAGGCACTGGTGAGTTTTAGACAAGGCAACCCAATTTCAACCCCAGGAAAGTGCTGGAGCAAATAATCAAACAACTGTTTGTAAAGACCCAGAGGGATAGCTACCGATGGGGATTTGTCAAGAACAAATTGTGTTAAACCACCCCAGTTATTTTCTATGACAGAGGAAGCCCCGCCATGCAGACAGAAGCGGTGGATGTACCCTTGCCTCCAGTTTTCTCTCACTTTAGGAAGGCAGTGCTTCACGTGAAGTTTCCCTGAGCGAGTTTGAGCCACACGGTTCAGCTAAAGCTAGCATTAGGAGATGCTGCAAAACCACAGCAGCAGCAAGAGAGCAGTAGCTGATTCAGTGCCAGTTTGGAGCGTCAGTGAGGTGGGCCCAAGGACAGTCAGCCTAGCAACCAGCCAGTGTTAAACTGTTATTCCTGCCCTGGATAGTGGAACTGATATTACCTACTTACAGTCTCAGATGACCCAAAGCAAAGAGGACCAGTGGTACATGGGTAGGTGGGACGGCATTGAGGAGGACCATGCTGGGCTGGAAGAAGCAAGGTGCAACACAGGAGGGACAAGGGTGCGGCATCCAGGGATGGGGTGAAGCACAGCCAGATGGACATCATGCTCCTATTTGGACGCTGTGCTTCAGGAGCAACGAGATGCTTGGAGAGACTTCAGAGGTCAGCAGTGAAAATTATGAGAGATCTGGAAAATACGATTTATGAGGATGACCTGGGGGTTGCTGACCTTAAAAGAAGAGGTGGTGCTGAGGTGGAAGAGGTTCCCCAACTACCCAGGGGATTGTGTCTAGGGGCAGAGGGATGGTCCAGGTGACCCACTAGGATCCCTTCCTGGCCTTCTTTTTTTTTTTTTTAATATATATATACTGCCATGAAACAATCCTATGCATTTCATTAGGATACCTCCCGGAGTAAAATTTCCTCCATGGGCTTCTTTCTTTGCTACAGCTCACCTGTGTGATCCTTCGCTCCAGCGTGAAGTGGGTGTGAAACGCTGCCGCTCAGATGTGTCGCTGTCATACACCTCCTCTCCAAAGTGCAAATAACTCCCCAGGCTGCAAGCCGGGAGGACGCGCCCGCAGTCAGTGATGGGCGCTGATTGATGAATTTTCACAGCAGGTGAGAGCGGCGGGAGACGCGCACATTACAGATTTCATGTACAGACAGTAGCACTCGGGAGGACAAATAGAGTGAATGCCCCAAGATGCGGCTGCCGGGTCAGAAACCAGCCCCAGCATTACCCAGTAGCGGACAAATCCCTGCCCTCAGCCCTGGCGTGGGGCTCTGAGGCAGCGCTTGCCCCGTCTGTCCCTGCTGAGCCGGGGTGGGGGAGATGACACTGCTCCTGCAGCCGGCTCCCAATTTTCCTCATTACCTGCTCTAAGCTTCTCTCAAAGTGGCTCTTGTGCAAAGCCGCTAATTTTGTCCCAGCAAACAACAAAATAAGTCTGGATGCGAAAGGCTGGTGGGATTTTGACAAGATGCATGTAGAAGTTGGGCGACTAGTCTTAATTAGGCCATCTTTGTTTACATTTGATGTTTATCAGCTAATTGGCATGGCAAGGTGTGAGTCACACAGCTTCCCTCCGGCATCAAATCAGTTCACAGGAGAAAAACTGGGAGAACAAATGATTCCAATTATAAGAAAACCCACTGTGCAAATGCAGGAGCAAAGGTGACGCTTCGCCAGCCGGCCATTTGGTGCTGCACAGCATTTCTCAGGGACTAAGGCTGCTGCCTACGCCACTGCCCTTTTTTCCTCTCCTTTTTTTTGTTTAAGCTTGGTGGAGACCATGTTGTGGCAGCAGCTTGCAGGGAATATCTCATGCTCCCAACATCGTGATTCCCGTCAAATCAAAGCCTGGATGTTTGCTGCAGTGGAGCTGGACTGGAACCTCTCTGCTTAGGCTAATTAAAACCAACATTCAACCCTTGCCTTGACTCTTTCCTCCCCCCCACCTTTTAAAAATATTTTTAGACCATCTGTAGGTTGGCCAGTTTCCTGCTCTACCTTCCTTCTACTGCCTTGGCGCTTGATTCCGATGCACAAGCTCACGCATACTTGTATGTATGTATGCACACATGTACTTACTGTAAATCTCCATCTTTCTCCCTCTGTCTCCCTCTCTCCATCCTTCGGGGAGATGTGTTGCCCCTATACCCTTTCAGGCCTTTCCCTTATACACTAAGGGTCCAATGCGCAGGAATGTTTCTTGGCTGCCCTTGAGTTGAATGATGATCCTGGAGGCTTGGAAAAGCCACAAAGCTCAATGCTCTCCGTCTCCCTGTGTCTCTCTTGTCTTCCCTTCTTAGTAGGGGTAACAGATGGCTGAGGCTTTCACCAACAGTCCCGAACACATTGTCACTCCCAACTGAAAGTGAAATATTCAGTGGCATTTAAATTAAATAGACTCTAATGCTTCAGTAATATTAATTACGGTTTCATTCATCCCTGGCCTAATAAATCAACACATAAAGATAGGATGATCCTGTGGCTGGCAGCAAAGCAGGGCTATTCTGCCCTTTGTAAGGTTATGCACACAAAGCCCCCATTCTTATAGGGACATGATGGCCCCCGCAAACATCTGTGCTCAGCACCACTTGAGGAGAAGCCAAAGTGGTAACATTTAAACTTTTCTTGTCCAATTTGTCCACGCAACGGGGCTCAATTCAACAAGAACTTGCGAGTTAAAATTATAAAACCCGTGTTAAGCGGGCGAAAACTTTTCAGCGGTTTGGCCGGGGGGGCCCAGATTTATTCTGGCAGCGCCGTCTGAAGCCAAGGGCAGGGCGTCCATTCTCGACGCTGAATTTGTTACCCCAGCTTCAACCTTTAAAAGAAGGGGGGTGGGGGCGGAGAAGGCTTGAAGGGTTTGAAAACCTCATGGCGTTAAGCTAAATTTCAGGATTTGGGGAGGCCCTGGGCAACAATTTTTCACACAATTTTTTTGTGTGAATACCACAGGGGAAATAGGCTCTGTACTTCACCAACAACAGGTTTTTTCCCCTCACCGCTATACATATGTAAAAGGAGGCTAATAAAACGGTTGAAGAAAAGCTTGCTGCTAGTAAATCTTCTGGAGACAAAACCCTCCACTTGTGATGCTTCAAAGCTGCCCAGAGCTACCAGTTTACCCCAAAAGTCCCAACTCAGGGCCGCTGATTGGAAAATAAAAAGCCCTGAGCATAAAAACTTCACTCCAATTGTTATGCAGTGAATGCGACGTTTACATGCAGCAGCTTTGCTTGACCAAATGACTCCCAAGTATACAAATGAAAAGCTTGTCGCCTATACAGTTTAGCTCCTTTGGAAAGGTCCATCTAGAGTAGGTTTACAATGAAAAAAATACATTATAATGACAAAGCAATGCC